TTCAGGCTTTTCTTTGATCTTAATACTCAAATTAGGTCAATCATAAATGAGGTTAATGTTCACTCATTTCTACTCCCTAGTTTGTTAAAGTTACTAAAGTTTTATGTATACTCATTGGTCCTGAAAGTTTGCTCAATGTTGCCAATTCTTCTATCAGAACAGTTTCTCCAAGGCTCTGCCCCCTCTATGGAAATCATCCATAGATTCATTTTTAAAGTTGTTTCTAAAAAATGACATAAAAATGTAATTTTTTACTCATGGTTCTTTATGGATGGTAACGTCTATCCATTTCCGTAACCAAAACTAGTTCCAATATTGTTAAGCTAGTTCCACCATAAGTCAAATGAGTATGATGGCGAATGTCTACAGTGACTTAGTGGTTTTAAGGATATGCACTCTTGTTTCTCTTCATATCGCATAAATCTTTCGCCTTTTACTAAAGATTTCCGTGCAGGGGAACAACAAGAGTTATCCTCAATTTTTGATGCCCTACTGAGAGGTAGGGTGATATCCATGTCTAATGATAAAGAGATTTAGTCAAGTTCTAATGCTTGTTTTTGTTCTCAGTCAAATCATGAGAGATGTTCAGGCTTTTCTTTGATCTTAATCTTCAAATTAGGTCAATCATAAATTAGGTTAATGTTCACTCATTTCTACTCCCTAGTTTGTTAAAGTTACTAAAGTTTTATGTATACTCATTGGTCCTGAAAGTTTGCTCAATGTTGCCAATTCTTCTATCAGAACAGTTTCTCCAAGGCTCTGCCCCCTCTATGGAAATCATCCATAGATTCATTTTTAAAGTTGTTTCAACAAATTACATAAAAATGTAGTTTTTTACTCATGGTTCTTTATGGATGGTAACGTCTATCCATTTCCGTAACCAAAACTAGTTCCAATATTGTTAAGCTAGTTCCACCATAAGTCAAATGAGTATGATGGCGAATGTCTACAGTGACTTAGTGGTTTTAAGGATATGCACTCTTGTTTCTCTTCAGATCGCATAAATCTTTCGCCTTTTACTAAAGATTTCCGTGCAGGGGAACAACAAGAGTTATCCTCAATTTTTGATGCCCTACTGAGAGGTAGGGTGATATCCATGTCTAATGATAAAGAGATTTAGTCAAGTTCTAATGCTTGTTTTTGTTCTCAGTCAAATCATGAGAGATGTTCAGGCTTTTCTTTGATCTTAATACTCAAATTAGGTCAATCATAAATTAGGTTAATGTTCACTCATTTCTACTCCCTAGTTTGTTAAAGTTACTAAAGTTTTATGTATACTCATTGGTCCTGAAAGTTTGCTCAATGTTGCCAATTCTTCTATCAGAACAGTTTCTCCAAGGCTCTGCCCCCTCTATGGAAATCATCCATAGATTCATTTTTAAAGTTGGTTTCAACAAATTACATTAAAAATGTCGTTTTTTACTCATGGTTCTTTATGGATGGTAACGTCTATACATTTCCGTAACCAAAACTAGTTCCAATATTGTTAAGCTAGTTCCACCATAAGTCAAATGAGTATGATGGCGAATGTCTACAGTGACTTAGTGGTTTTAAGGATATGCACTCTTGTTTCTCTTCAGATCGCATAAATCTTTCGCCTTTTACTAAAGATTTCCGTGCAGGGGAACAACAAGAGTTATCCTCAATTTTTGATGCCCTACTGAGAGGTAGGGTGATATCCATGTCTAATGATAAAGAGATTTAGTCCTTTGCTCAAGTTCTAATGCTTGTTTTTGTTCTCAGTCAAATCCTGAGAGATGTTCAGGCTTTTCTTTGATCTTAATACTCAAATTAGGTCAATCATAAATTAGGTTAATGTTCACTCATTTCTACTCCCTAGTTTGTTAAAGTTACTAAAGTTTTATGTATACTCATTGGTCCTGAAAGTTTGCTCAATGTTGCCAATTCTTCTATCAGAACAGTTTCTCCAAGGCTCTGCCCCCTCTATGGAAATCATCCATAGATTCATTTTTAAAGTTGTTTCAAAGAAATTACATTAAAAATGTAGTTTTTTACTCATGGTTCTTTATGGATGGTAACGTCTATCCATTTCTGTAACCAAAACTAGTTCCAATATTGTTAAGCTAGTTCCACCATAAGTCAAATGAGTATGATGGCGAATGTCTACAGTGACTTAGTGGTTTTAAGGATATGCACTCTTGTTTCTCTTCAGATCGCATAAATCTTTCGCCTTTTACTAAAGATTTCCGTGCAGGGGAACAACAAGAGTTATCCTCAATTTTTGATGCCCTACTGAGAGGTAGGGTGATATCCATGTCTAATGATAAAGAGATTTAGTCCTTTGCTCAAGTTCTAATGCTTGTTTTTGTTCTCAGTCAAATCGTGAGAGATGTTCAGACTTTTCTTTGATCTTAATACTCAAATTAGGTCAATCATAAATGAGGTTAATGTTCACTCATTTCTACTCCCTAGTTTGTTAAAGTTACTAAAGTTTTATGTATACTCATTGGTCCTGAAAGTTTGCTCAATGTTGCCAATTCTTCTATCAGAACAGTTTCTCCAAGGCTCTGCCCCCTCTATGGAAATCATCCATAGATTCATTTTTAAAGTTGTTTCTAAAAAATGACATAAAAATGTAGTTTTTTACTCATGGTTCTTTATGGATGGTAACGTCTATCCATTTCCGTAACCAAAACTAGTTCCAATATTGTTAAGCTAGTTCCACCATAAGTCAAATGAGTATGATGGCGAATGTCTACAGTGACTTAGTGGTTTTAAGGATATGCACTCTTGTTTCTCTTCAGATCGCATAAATCTTTCGCCTTTTACTAAAGATTTCCGTGCAGGGGAACAACAAGAGTTATCCTCAATTTTTGATGCCCTACTGAGAGGTAGGGTGATATCCATGTCTAATGATAAAGAGATTTAGTCCTTTGCTCAAGTTCTAATGCTTGTTTTTGTTCTCAGTCAAATCGTGAGAGATGTTCAGGCTTTTCTTTGATCTTAATACTCAAATTAGGTCAATCATAAATGAGGTTAATGTTCACTCATTTCTACTCCCTAGTTTGTTAAAGTTACTAAAGTTTTATGTATACTCATTGGTCCTGAAAGTTTGCTCAATGTTGCCAATTCTTCTATCAGAACAGTTTCTCCAAGGCTCTGCCCCCTCTATGGAAATCATCCATAGATTCATTTTTAAAGTTGTTTCTAAAAAATGACATAAAAATGTAGTTTTTTACTCATGGTTCTTTATGGATGGTAACGTCTATCCATTTCTGTAACCAAAACTAGTTCCAATATTGTTAAGCTAGTTCCACCATAAGTCAAATGAGTATGATGGCGAATGTCTACAGTGACTTAGTGGTTTTAAGGATATGCACTCTTGTTTCTCTTCAGATCGCATAAATCTTTCGCCTTTTACTAAAGATTTCCGTGCAGGGGAACAACAAGAGTTATCCTCAATTTTTGATGCCCTACTGAGAGGTAGGGTGATATCCATGTCTAATGATAAAGAGATTTAGTCAAGTTCTAATGCTTGTTTTTGTTCTCAGTCAAATCGTGAGAGATGTTCAGGCTTTTCTTTGATCTTAATACTCAAATTAGGTCAATCATAAATGAGGTTAATGTTCACTCATTTTTAAGACGAGGCAAAGCTGCTATGAGAAAAAGCAGAGAGTGCATAACGTTAGAGATTGAACTAACAGATTCTTCAGAGTGGAAGAATAGAGATAGAATAAAGCAGAATGAAGAAATGGGGGTCCCTATGTCCTCCAAAAGTCTAAGCCTATAGCAGCATAACTATAGAGATAGCTCAGGATAAACGGAGCCACTCTAACTATAAGCTTTATCAAAAAGGAAAGTTTTAAGCCTAGCCTTAAAAGTTGACAGGTTTGCTGCCTCACAGACTAAAGCTGGTAGTTGGTTCCACAGGAGAGGAGCCTGATAACTAAAAGATCTGCCTCCCATTCTATTTTCTTAGAAATTCTAGGAACCACTAGTAAACATGCAGATTGACAACGAAGTCCTCTGTTAGGAACATGAGAAACAATTATATCTCTGATATCATGGAGCTTGGCCATTTAAGGCTTTATATGTGAGAAAGAGGATTTTAAATTCTATTCTGGATTTAACAAGGAGCCAAAAAAGAGAAGCCAGAATAGGAGAGATATGATATTTTCATGTGGCTGCAGCATTTTACTGTTTGTGGACTTCCTGATAGTAAAGAATTACTTTAGTCCAGTCTTGAAGTAACAAATGCATGGACTAGTTTCTCTGCATTATTTAATACCAAATTAGAAAGGAACTGTGAAAACTCATCTAAAATTTCAGAGTAAGGACCTGGTGGATGATACATAGTTACAAAAACAAGAGGTTTTCTTGCTTTGCAATTTGGATGAGGGGAATTAAGGGTTAAATGTTCAAAAGAGTTGTAGGTATTAACTGGCTTTGGGTTATCAGTAGTGCGACTGAAAGATTGTTGCTACTCCTCCTCGCCCAGAACTTCTGCGTATGTGAAAATTTAAATAGCTTGAACAAGTTGCCTCATTTATGCTCACATAATCCTCTTGCTGAAGCCAGGTTTCTATAACGCAACATAAATAAATGTGATTATCACAAATCAAGTCATTAATTTGCAGACTTTTAGAGGAAAGAGATCTTATGTTAAACAGACCACATTTAATCGTTTTAACTTTTTCCCCAATTTGAGTTATTTTAATGTTAATTAGATTATCATGATTTACTCCTTTGGGAATCTTTGCTAATTTATTAGATTTTGGTCGTGGGTAAGACACTGTCTGGATGGAGTAAAGAGTGGGTGACAGTAGAGAAGCTGCAGAGATGTGTGTTAAACTACAACTCTGCTTCCTGGTCTGCACCTTGGGTGGTTCGCAGAGCCAAGTGAGAGGAATGGGACTGAGCCTAAATGCTACTAGGGCTGGGCAATATAAGATAAGATAAGATAATCCTTTATTTGTCCCACAGTGGGGAAATTGTAGCGTTGCATCACAGTGAACAGTACAGTAGGAAAAAGTATAAAAAATATCTAAAATATATATATAAAAGACATTCATTGCTCATTTAACAGGAGAAAATTTTTTACCTTTCTTGAAAACAATTGTATGCAAATGTAATGGCGCCTTTTGCACATCTTTAAGCTCAAAAGCGTGGTTGTGCGGTAGGTGGCGTAGGTCGGATGTGTTACTTTAGGTTGTCCCAACAGCTTTCAGACAAACTCTGCATTTCGTGTTCTTTTGCTCAGCGTCTATGGCGTAATTTTGGCAAGCTACTACAGAATTGAGTGTGCAGCGAGAACAATGTGCATCATTTAAACTCGCACCTCACTCAAAACCAGCCTGCTGCACGCTCAACTCTGACGTGTGCTTGACTTCTTCTCTTCTTTGCTCTCACTGGGATCCACGCGATTAACTGATGTAATTTTGTTTACAGCTGTGTAAGAGGCTTCTTCACTGGACACATCTGCCATTCTCTTTGTTTGAGCTTCTGGCTGGATCGGTATGATTACACACCTGCCTGCAGTGTCTTAAAGCGGAAGGAAATACCAGCCACCCTTGTAAGTTAGTTAAGTTTATTTATTTTATTCATGTCAGCGGTGATCGCAGTGAATGACAGTAATGGTAAAAATCTGTTTTATCACCCAGTTTAGTAACAACTCTATTTAGTTTCTAGTATTCATTTTAATGATTAAAGCAGCTTTTTTCATTGTCCATAAAAATCACTAATTGAATTTCAAAGAAACACAATTTTCAGAATAAGGTTCCTTCATTAGGTTTAAAATACAAGGCCAGAAATGAAAAGTAATAACCCTGTGGGCCAACACATCTGTGAAAAAAACATTCCCTATTTTCACAACCCCATGCTGGCAAGTATGATATAAAGACACATTTGTATACATAGATTACAGTACAAACATTTAAATGTTTGTATTGTATTGAAAAGAGAATGACTGAACCATTTTCATGTTGTATAAAGATGATGCTCCACTTCACCTTTAGTAAAATTTAATGTTTGGTCATTTTTTTTACACTTTTTATTGTTTCATGGCTGTATACTAAATGGTGATATCATTTCTAATCAAAGAACACTAAAACCATTTGAGTTAATGACCTTGGCCATAACCAATCACACTTGATGAGCTAAAAGACAAGTTTCTTTGGTTGTTCCCATGGAAACTCTTTTCTCCCAAAGTGACCATAGCACGCAGTGGCCTGGTAAATCGGCCTCTTCAGACCCAGCTCTCTGTGAAGACAGGACACAGTGTGACCTTTTAGTTCAAGGGTAACACATTTTGGGAAAGGGGGGAGGGGACTTCACAGACCTCACTATGACTCCAGGTCGTAGGTCAAAGTTTTTCTGCACAATCTGCAGCAGTTCTTCCTCATCCCGGTCCGACGTGCCGTAGTGAAACACGGTGACAGAAAGCGGATGACTCACGGCGATGGCATATGAGATCTAAGAGGAGTACCAGACAGAAAAACCTAGTTAATGAATGCTGTCCACCCAAAAGTGTTTAGTCATCATAAATAGCAAGGAATGCTTGTGAACACAGGATATTAAGGGATGGGAGAGTTAAATTTCACCTGGACAAGGGCCCTCTTGCAGAGCCCTGCTTTGACGAAAGACTTGGCAACCCAACGTGCCGCATACGCCCCCGACCGATCCACTTTGGAATAGTCCTTTCCAGAGAAAGCTCCACCTCCATGCCCGCCCCAGCCTCCATAGGTATCAACAATTATTTTACGTCCTGTGAGGCCTGCGTCACCCTTTAGATCGAGAAAAGAAAAGCTCACTTTGTAGGCTTTAAAAAATAAAAAAAAGATCAACTTTCTCCTCTGTCGCTGACCTGTGGGCCTCCCATGAGAAATTTGCCGCTGGGCAGCAGATGGTAGATGGTTCTATCGTCCAGATACTTGGCAGGAATCACAACTTTCACCACCTTCTCCATCAGATTGTGCCTAATCTCTTGCAGGGTGATGTCCGGACTGTGCTGCACAGAGATGACCACAGTGTGGACACGCAGAGGCTCCAGAGCTCCCTCACTGTCTCGATACTCCAATGTAACCTGCACAACAGACTAGAGGGTCAGTAAAAGAAAAAAAGCATATACAATAAAAAACCTGGACCTGCTTTCTTCAGCAGAGTTCACCTGAGACTTGGAGTCTGGAAGTATCCAAGGACACTCTTTGTTCTGTGAAAGCTCCCTCATCCTGTAATTGATTTTATGAGCCAGTAGGAGGGTCAGAGGCATGCACTCCTCAGTTTCATCAGTGGCATATCCAAACATCAAGCCCTGAAGAAACAAGAAAAATCCTTTATAAACTTATGGGCTGTTTATTATACAAATCCTATTGGGCTGCATCAGCCCAAGATCCAAAACGTGACTTCTACAGCTTTGACTTTCTGCTTGTAATACTGCCAAACAGTCAGTAGGCTCCAACAGTTACAATGTTCTATATTTTCTTTCTTTTTCTTACCCGTTAAATAAAATCCCCCAGAAGTATATCACCGTTTGTGACTGTAACATGACAAAGACAATAGGCAATTTGAAATTACTAATTTTTTCAAGGCATAGCATTCCATTGAGGAGAGTACTGTACAGCTGTGTTTCCATTGACAAATAGCAATAACTGTAATCATGAAAATATGTTTGCGTAATGGAAAAACACCAATTCAAAGAAAAGCACAAAAAAGGGCATGTTTTTCGGCAAAAATTTTTTTGCGCTAAGAAATCACAGTTTTGCAAAACTGATAAAAACAAATTTTTCACACCACATGCATCATGTGATCACCAGCGAGACATCACTAATGGAAAAAAAAAACGAAGAGGACAGGAGGCAATACGAGGGTGATATTCTAGCGTGTTTTTTAATTAATCATAGTGGAAACAAACGTATGCACGTGTGATTTTATTAGCTTTTTTTAAATAAAAATGTTTCAAAAACAGCAATTGGGATATTGTTTTTTTTTTTTGTAATTTGTAATGGAAACACAGTAGCTACGTTTACATGCGCAAAATTTCCCCGATCCGATCCAAACCTTGGTTGATCGGAAATTCAAAATCTCCGTTTACATGGACACTAAATGAAATGATCCGATCATGACGTGTGTATACATGTACCAAGCGTTGGATCAGATTAAATCTTTTAAGCATGCGCAGAACTTCCTGCCAAACTTGGCAGTTCTGTCTGCGTCTGGTTTTTGGGAGGCCTGACAAACGATGCGCTCGGAGCGAGCAGAAAGAAAAAAGGAGAGAGGAGGAAAAAAGCGCTTGGCAGCGAAATGTACGAGAGAAAATGTAGAGAATGAGCGATTGAACCGGCGTGGGAGAGCGAGTGGGCTGTGGAGAGGAAGAAGAAGAAGAGGAGGAGGATAAATTCCTGCTTCCTGCAGCTTTAAATGAACTTGAGTCGGCATTCCTAGACTCCCCCCGCCATGTTGTTCACAGCAAGAGCGAGAGCGACCGGTGGTTTCCTGTTGTTGACAAGGCGGAAAAACGTCACGCTGACATCGCACACATGCGCAGTGAAGATTATTTTACTCTTAAGATCCGAATGGGTGTTTACATGGACGCCAATCGGAATGGCGATCGGCAAAAACCACCTCTCTCTTTCGGAATTAAATTTAGATCCGATCGGACCGAATCGGATTAGAATCTTCAGTCTGACATGTTTACATGAAACATTTTTGATCTGATCAGGCCTTCAATCCGATTAGTTGTCTCCATGTAAACGTAGCCCATGATTGATTCGACTACAAGTAGAAGAATTTATGGGATGAAAAATAGAGCATATACTGCATGTTGCCTGTAAGGAATTTAGTTATACCCTGTTTGTGCAACCTCTCCCTCTCCTGTTGATCACTGATTGGTCCCACCTGGGCTGCTTTCTATTTAGGCTACGTTCACACTGCAGCCTGAAGTGACCCAAATCCGATTTTTTTGCCCGCATGCGACCTGAATCTGATCGTTTCATGGCAGTCTGAACAACACAGATCAGATTTCTTTCCAATACGAACCAGGCCCCTTGGCTATGTGGTCCTGAATCCAATACGGATCTAATCCATTCAAATGCGACCTGTGTGTGAAAGGCCAAGTCGCATTCATCCGACCTGAACGTCATTAATACGCGACAAACGTCCCCATTCTGCGTCTTGCTATGCAGAAGCGGCAAGAAAAACAACAACCATGGCAGAAGATGGTGCGGAGAGCAGTATTTATGTTTAAACATATTGAAAAGAATTCGTTTTTATGGTTGGAAAAGACCACTAGATGCGTGCCAGCACTACCATCCATGTTTACTTCTGGAAAAACAGAGCACGCTGGCCTGTGATGTCATTGCGTCCTCTACTGCGCATGCGGGACCCTTGTGTTGTATGTCTGCAGTTCACACAGGAGATCACATACAAGTTGCGTATATTTGGAAATATGAACGGCGACATAAAGAAAAAATCGGATTTCGCAAAAAAATCGGAATGGAGCATCAAGACCTGCAGTGTGAACGTAGCCTTTACCTCCTGTTCTATCCCTGCTCTGTGTGAGATCGTCTGCCTTTTCACAGCTTTCAAGCCCTGTTTCATGAGCCAAGTATTTTCCTGTTCATCCACCATGCCTCTCCCTTTGCCAAGACCTTACCTCTGAGTGAGTTGAGTTTTCTTTTCCTGAATGTTGCTGAACCTTGCCTAATTCTGGCCCTGATTAAGCCCACTGGATATCGGAAACTTTTTTGCCTGAGTGATCTTCTGTGCACCCTGTGACCCTGGACTGGAAATGGATTTCAAACTGTTGGATCGTGGATGTCAGTACCTCTGCTCTCTGTAACCCTTAAGGTACCCAGTGTCCACTGGACCCTGCCATGCTGAACCTGGTAATTCCAGTTTGTTTATATTTTTTTAATCATCTCCGGTTTATCGGAAGCATCGTTGCTAACCAGTTAGCAACTTAGTGCTAGTAGGTTCCCAATGGGAAATTCCATTGGGACCAAGTAGCACTAAGTTTGTGACTTAGAAATGACACTGTCAAGGAACGCTATGGACAGAGGAAACATGCAAGAGGAGCAGAGTTTAGTGTCGGAGGTCGTGGATGAGTCTCCTCTGTTTTATTTAGAGGAGGAAAGCGGGACGAAGAGGTTGTGGAAGAGGACGCCAGGGCGGCAGAAGCTTGGTTTGGTGTAGAAGGCTTACAGCCATACATGTTTGAGCCCTTGCCTCGCAACGCTGCCAGTTCTGTTAGCTCTACGCCTGCTGAAGACACAGACGTCCATCCCTGTGAACACTGGGACAGAACTCAATGGGAAAGGAAATGATTCTTATTTCTTATTTCAACCGTTGCGTATATTAGCTGCAACATATGAATCAAGTTGCTATGACCAAAAATATTTGACAGATTTTAAATAGAAATTTTCTAAATTTGGTCTGATAAAGCGTCCATTTATATACATGTTTAAGCCAGAATGATTTGATATTTAAATATGATTTCCCTACGACTTTAAAAGATTTGGTCTGAATCTGGTCTAGGTAGCCAGGCAACTCATAAAATGAAAGCCAGGCCTAAGAATTGAACCAATTTTAAGCATTTTCAGCTTTTCTTTACTAAAATAACTGTATAAGATCAAATAGTGAACCTGGTCCCCAGCACCGATGTCCTCCTGATCCCTCCCCTCAAACACACAGTCTGATATCTCCACAGCCTGCGGCTCCAGAGCCACCAGCACATTGCAGGTCTTGTAGTCGAAACCTGAGGACAAACCAAGCCATTTTTTTTACATATTCCCCATAAATTTTAGGAATTATTTGCAGGAATAAATCAAGATCTGAAACTACCTTTTGATGAGTCATCATAGCCAATCTTCTTGATGGTATTTCGAACCACGGACTGGAGATCCACAATGGCTTTAGATGTCACCTCTCCCACTAGCAGAATCATGCCGGTCTTTGCCACACACTCTGAAACAGGAACCCCAACAACGTTAGCCAGAACAATCTGAAGCTCCACAGATCCACCGGGTGCCACACGATGGCAGCCCAATGCTCCCCAAGAGGATGGGTTAAATGCCTAGAGTGAATTTCGTTGCTCTGTACTTGTGACGGTGTAATGACAATAAAAGCATAAAAAAGTAACCTTTATGGATCATACACTTACATTTTTACCTCTGTTTCATGTGACAGATTTTCCAAGGTTAGCCTTTTTCATCAAACACATTTGATTCAATAATAATTACAGTTCGAAACCTCAATACAAAGATTTTCGATGACTTGCTAGCAAGATAACAGTGCACTACGCTTTAATCTACAGGGCAAACCCAGTTTAATTATTCATTAAGTTCTTTTATCTTTTATTACCGTAACAGTCTAAACTCCAACTGTTTCTTTAGATGTTCATGTTACTCATGTCATAAATTGAGATCATTTAAAAAATTTTAACACGTGTATAATGTCCCTGATGTTCACACTCACCACAGGCCACTTTGGAGTCAGGGTCCTGACTGAGAAATGCATCAAGCACAGCATCACTGATCTGGTCGCACATTTTATCTGCATACAAAAAAGACAGAACATTTAAAAAAGGACAGGAACAGCATCCTCTATACAGCATCATGGACTCACCAGCCTCTTTATTAGGAAAACTCAAAGGAGGGAAAAACTATAAATGCTGCATTGTTGCTGGTGCAGACAGGCAGGTTTTTCCAGAAAAATTATTTCAGGTTTACTGAGAAGAAAAATATTCACCGTCCACCAGAAAGGCAGCCAAGAGGCTTCTTATTTCCACGAGAGAATTCACAGAAATCTGACCTTTGTGAAAGTGTGGAAAGAAGAGCAACAAACACATGGAAGTGGGTCCTTATTTAGTTTATGTTGCAGATTAGACAGCATCCCGACCACAGCATCCCATTAGTCATGGTGATGGCAGCCTTATGCTTTGGGGATCCAAATCTTAAGAACAGGAAACTTGATCAGATTTGCTGGGAAAATGGATGTCGCTAAACAGAGGGCATTGATGGAAGAAAACCAGTTAGAGCAGGGGGGGGGGTCTGAAGTGCAGCCTGTTGGAGCTGATGCAGACTTTGGCTCACCCATTCATTAAGTATACAGGAAATAGCAAGAGATGAAGAAAGTTTTTTTTATCTTTTTGCTGGGAATAGACTGACAATACATTCTAAACAAAAAAAAAGAAAAAAATTTGACCAAAAAAAGTTGCAGCAAAAAGTTGCTTCAGGACTGAATACAAATGTAGTAAAACCTCTTTAGACTATGAACGATAGTATTTAAAGCTCAGAAATGTTCTCTAGTTTGCATCTGTATACGAAAATGATCCAAATAAATGACAATATTGTGAGAAAAAGTTAAATGACTATTTTAGTTCAGGCAACCAAAATACGGAAAAAAACGGATATGAACTGAAATTCTTGGAGATCCATACTAGCTGTGGAAACAACAACACAGTTGTTACTCTCTTTTACATAATGTTCTGTGACACATTATTTTGGGTTAATGCTTTTGTAAGATCATGCTAATTAATGGCTTAGCCTCTTACACCCTAAGGGGGTATAAATAAATTTCTGCCTGACAAAAACACACAAAAGTAAATAACTTATAGCCTTCTAAGCTATTAGATTTAAGAAGAAACTTTTGGTACCTCTGTAAAGGTAAGATGTCATAGAATGGTTTTCTGGTGTCAGCACCATTGTAGCTTTGACCCTGCCTGAAATATTAGGGACAAAATACAAAATATTTTGCATTTTTTGAACCTCGCCAAAATTTTCTTTGAAATAAACATGGCAAAACACTACCAAAATATTATTTATAGCACAAAAAAGTAGTACAGACTTTCAAATCTAAATGTTGTGTAAAAATATACCAAATTTGGACTCAATCAGATGAATCATATTTATTTTAGAATGATATTAGTGAGAAATTTCTTAGGCGGAGAGGCCATTTTGGCACATTTATCCATAAATGTCACCAAACTGTGCCAAATATGTTTTTTACATCAATACTGGGGGTTTGTTAAAATGACGAGGTCACGTAGCAGCTGGACCCACCGGTGGGTCCGTAGGGTTCAAGGGGTTAAATACAAAAACAATCCCAAAATGGACATCTGTCATATCATCTGTCATATCATTCCATAAGAAACATTTGCATTTTTTTCTGCCTGTCTAATGTACAGGACATCACTCCTCAATGCTCTGCTGCACACTGTCAGTCAGCTGGCTCAAGATAGCATGTTTTCTTTAACGTGTGGAGTAAAAAATATTGAGATGCACTGCTCAAAATATTAAAGGAACACTTCGTAATCAGAGTAGAGCATCAAGTTAATTAAACGTCTGGGATATTGATTTGGTCAGGTAAGTAGCAGAAGAGGTTGCTAATCAGTTTCAGCTGCTTCTGTGTTAATGAAATTAACAGGTGCACTAGAGGGGCGACAATGAGACGATCCTCAAAATGGTCAGAATGCTTTTTCAGGTGGAGGCCACTGACATTTTTTCCCCTCCTCATCTTTTCGACTCTTTTTCACCAGTTTTGCATTTGGCTAGGGTCACTGTCACTACTGTTAGCATGAGGCGCTACCTAGACCCTACAGAGGTTCCACAGCCAGTCCAGCTCCTCCAGGATGGCACATCAATACATGCCATTGCCAGAAGGTTTGTTGCGTCTCCCAGCACAATCTCAAGAGCATGGAGGAGATTCCAGGAGACAGGCAGTTACTCCAGGAGACCTGGACAGGGCCGTAGAAAGTCTACAACCCATCAGCAAGACCATTATCTCCTTCTTTGTGCAAGGAGGAGCAGGAGGAGCACTGCCACAGGCCTACAAAATGACCTCCAGCAGGCCACTGGTGTGAATCTCTCTGACCAAACAATCAGAAACAGACTCACGAGGGTGGCCTGAGGGCCCGACATCCTCTAGTGGGCCCTGTGGAGCTCAACTGGCATTTGCCACAGAACACCGGAATTGGCAAGTCCGCCAATAGCGCCCTGTGCTTTTCCCAGATGAGAGCAGGTTCGACCTGAGCACATGTGACAAATGGACTAGCCGCATAATTTTTTTCACAATTTTGGGGTTTCTCTGTAGGTTAATAATTTTCATTTCCACCAAATGATGTGGCATCCTTTGTTCCTAACACATCACCCAGTCCATATCAGAATAAGTAAACAGCATTTTTTCCACCATTGAGATCTGATGTGTTTTCAAAGTGTTCCTTTAATTTCTTTGAGCAGTGAATGTCTGTTCTTATCTTAAAGGAATAGTACACCCAAAACATGATTAGCCTTCATTTTCTACTCACCCTCATGCTGAACAACACTCTGGAGTACTTTTTTGATATCTCAAATGCATCTGGAGATCTGGGAGGCTTCTTGCTGTCTGCTGACATTCAAATAATGGAGGTCTATGGCGCCCGAGGCAGAAAGGTCCATAAAAGTCCACAAAAAACGTGTCAATATTCCTCCATACTGCTCGTCCAATGTATTCCAAGTGTCCTGAGTGGGTAGCATCCAGAATTTACTCGAAACGAAGTCATTTAGAATGTTTTTAGAGCATAAACAGTAGTGTATAGGATTTCCTAAAAGCGCGTTCACGACGCTACAGAAACCGCGGCAGACCAAACCAGATGAAAGTGCGCATTCAGCTCGGCAAAGAACTCATGCTCTTCCTCAACACTGAAGTCCTCAGACATTTTTTTGTTGTTGTTTCTTTCTTTGCACAGGTAAACGGCACATTTCTTCTCCTACGCTTGCATTATTCGCAGAGCAGACGCTGAATGCGCACTTTCATCTGGTTTGGTCTGCCGGCTTCCGTAGCTTTGTGAACGCGCAGGCGCGCGCTTTCAGGAAATCCTATACACTACTGTTTATGCCCTAAAAACATTCTAAATGACTTCGTTTCGAGTAAATTCTGGATGCTACCCACTCAGGACACTTGGAATACATTGGACGAGCAGTATGGAGGAATATTGACACATTTTTTGTGGACTTTTATGGACCTTTCTGTCTCGGTCACCATAGACCTCCATTATTTGAATGTCAGCAGACAGCAAGAAGCCTCCCAGATCTCCAGATGCATTTGAGATATCAAAAAAGTACTCCAGAGTGTTGTTCAGCATGGGGGTGAGTAGAAAATGAAGGCTAATCATGTTTTGGGTGTACTATTCCTTTAAGGTCATGAGAGATAAGAATGATTTCACACAGCCTCCTGCATGGCATGAAGCCAAGGACTGTTGTTTTGAGGAGATCCAGCTGGCCAGTGAAATATATATTAACAAAAACTCAAGATTTTTTTCCTCCAAATGTTCATGTGTGAGAAAGTTCTTTATATAGGGGTGGGATAGTTCCAAGTGACTGTATGTGTTAGATTTTTGTAAGGTATAAATGTAAGTTTTTTCAAGGCTGCACTTTCAAAAATGAAATTGTCTAGAGCTATTTTACACAAAATTTGAAACTGAGGAAAAAACCATTTGAGGATGTTAAATAAATTTGAACATTCTGTTGCAAGAGTCTCAGCTACCTCCTCAACTTCACAAACGTCACCCTGGAAAATGTGCCTAGTTCATAATGGTTCTATTAGCCAAATCAAGTTATCTTATCAAAGGCCATAGTGACAAGTTTTAACAAAAAATACCTTTTTTAAAAGTAAAACATCCACTAAGGTGCCATTAAGATACATTAAGGTGAGCATTAATGGATGTGGCAAGAAGCCAGCAAACAGAAAAAAAGTGAGTGAAAAAAAGAGTCTACCTCTTAATGGCCAGGAGGAAAATAAACTTGTAGGTATTCCCTTTAAGTTTATTCTAAGAAAAGTATTTCAATAATATGATTCTAAACACCCCCCTTGTATCGCTATAAGGATACACAAGAAGTCAGATGTATTATGTAGTTCAAATGGGAAAAATACCTTAAAATCATATAAAATCCTTTAAGTATTTTGTTGAGGTCCTATAGTATCTGGATAGTTAATGTGATGTAATGCATGCTGACAACTTTTAAGTGTTTAAGGATGCCACCCTAAAATGAGGAAATGTAGAAATAAGTATACTTAAATATGGCAATCAATGGCATATATTAAGTATTTACTATGGAAATCATTAAAAACTCATTATTTTGTTGTTGTTTTTTTCTTTTTGCTAAATTGTCCTTAAAGCCACCGGGGAACAAAATTCTGCATTAAAGCCACCGGGGAACAAAATTCTGCATTAAAGCCACCGGGGAACAAAATGTTGCATTCAAAGCCACTGGGGAACAAAATTCTGCATTAAAGCCACCGGGGAACAAAATGTTGCATTCAAAGCCACCGGGGAACAAAATTCTGCATTAAGCAAAAAGTAACAAAATAATGAAAGCTAAAATTAAAAGCTTTTTGGTATTGAAAAAAAAAAAACTAAAAATAAGTGAAACTGCAATAGGAGCTTCCAAAATGTATTAAAAACAACTGCGTTTAAAGACAGAATGTGCTTGGTTGTCAAAAAAAGTTGACTTCCAGTTGCTTTTTTTTGCTTTTTATTCATTTTTATTTTTACTATACCTTATTATGGCAGGGAAGACAGTCAGGTAGCTTCAGTGGCCTGTCCTTATCTGGGATTTTCTTTCTTTTTTTCTTTTCTTTTTTTTTTAGATACAGGACTGTAAGTCGTATCACATAAACCATTGAAACTATGACTGAAACAAATAAAAACTAAACTGCAACTAAACCCTTTTAAAACTAAACTTATAGATAGTAAACCAAATGGAAGGAAATTTAAATTGAAAAAATCTCAAGTCAAAACTCAATAAAAATAAAAACCATTGAAAAATGTAAAACAATTAGGGTGTGCTGATGAGGATTCTCAGTCATCCAGGTCATAGTCATTCCGTAAAAGTTCAAAAAAATTCCCAAACAAGTCCAGTGGATGTTTTTTTTTTTTTTTTACTTTTACGGAACAATTTGGATTGTGAACTGTGGCACGCTTGGACTTCCATAGAGGTTCAGAGTGATTTCTGTCGAAGTTAAAGCGCAAATGCCAACTCTGCTAAAAATATATCCCTAACTTACTATCCAGGTAACCATTTGCATGCTGTACAAATGCTCCTTTGTGTGCAGAAACCATTGATTCGCCGCTCTTATAGCTTGTGCATTGATCTTCTCTAGCCTCTGTTCTTATTCTGTACACAAAGTGATAGAGAGGAGCTACAGTACCGGAGTGTCCTTCCCCCACAGACTCGGACGTGAACAGGAAAGTCTTCCCGCTGCGCTTTCCGCTGCTGGGGTTCATCTTCACTTCCTCGAAGCAGCTTAACGGAGTCCAAGCGTGAGAATAAAAGACCAGAGCTGCGGTCTGACTATTAACAGATTAACCAAGGAGCTCAAACAGGGGCAGATTTAGTTTTCAACCTTTCTTCGGTCCTCCTGTGGAAACAGAGCTCTATAAATTATATCAGAAAAAGTTTTTATGGCCTTTCTGGACTCTGAACGCCGCTCTGATGGCTCAATTCTTTCCAGGAATGTTTTGCAGGCTAGTTAAACCAAAAAGCCACCAGATGTCGCTGTTGTGTTACTTTTTTTTTTTTTTTTTTTTTTTTTTATACCTGGAACTCCTCAGAGTTGTAAATGCAGCCTAAAATCCAACCGAATGAATATTGTGAGAAGGAAAACTGTTTCATTTTAGTGAATTTGGAAATCTGGGGAACTTTGTTGCTGCCATTCATACATACATTTGTTCTCCGACTTTAGCTCTGCATCAGTGGAGGTCAGCCAGAGTTAACTGGAGGGATGACTGAACTTTAGGTCTTCATCCATCCATCCATTATCTGACATGCTTGTCCCAAGTGGGGTCATGAGGGGTGCTGGTGCCTAGCTCCAGCAGTCAATGGGCAAGAGGCAGGGTCAGTCCATTGCAGGGCAACACAGAGACACACAACCATTCATGCACACACTCACACTTAAGGACAATTTAGAGAAGCCAACAGAGGTGTCAACTAAGGAAGTACAAATACTTTGTTACTGTACTTAAGTACACTTTTTAGGTATCTATACTTTACTCCATTACTTATTTTTCCTCCTACCTCTGACTTCTACTCATTACATACAGTAAAGCTTTGTGCCTAGCAACGCCCCTGGACATAAAACAGACTCATTCTTACAGATACAGAATTTTTTTTTATGTTTTAATAGAACAGACATACATTATTTGTTATATGATTAGTCTCTCTCTTCTTGTTTTTCTCTCAATGTTTTGTACTCAGCTGACTTTTCATGCTGTTTAAAAAAGAATGAAAGATTTTTTTCTCCAATCATTAAGCACTTAGCTGATTGTTTCTTCCTAAGTTTTCAAAAAAGGCGTCGGCAAAAATAAATAACCCAGTCCTCTTTTTCTCTGTCGACAAACCATGATCCGCTTATCTGTTCTCCATTTTTCATTTGGATGAAATAATAGCTGCATGAATAATGACAGCAAGTTGGTAACGCTGCTCTTCGCACCATTTATTTTCAGATGGTTTGCAAATGGACTGATCTACATTGTGGGGGGGTTGAGACACATAATATTAAAAGCGTTCTGATGGCATTTTAGCAAAGGGATTTTTATCCATGAAAATTATGTTCACAAATAAGGAATAGTATTAACCATATTAATAATCTTGGTCCCATCAAACCAAAGGATCTTCTTTCTCATAGTGTAGGAGTCTTTCATGTGTTTTCTAGGCAAACTCCATGCAGGCTTTCATATGTCTTGCAGTGAGGAGAGGCTTCCGTTGGGCCACTCTGCCATAAAGCCCTAACTGGTAAAGGGCTGCAGTCATAGTTGACTTTGTGGAACTTTCTCTATTCTCCCTGCTGCATCTCTGGAGCTCAGTCACAGTAATCTTTGGGTTCTTCTTTACCTCACTCACCAAGACTGTTCTCCCACGATAACTCAGTTTGGCTGAAGAGTTCTGGTCGTCCCAAACTTCTTCCATTTCAGTATTATGGAGTCCACTGTGCTGTTAGGAACCATGAGCGCTGCAGACATTATTTTGTAACCTTTGTTCCTTCAACCTCACAACTCTTGTTTGCTCTGACATGCACTGTGAGCTGTAAGGTCTTATATAGACAGGTGTGTTCCTTTCCTAATCAAGTCCAATAAGCTTAATTAAACACAGCTGGACTTCAATGAAGCAGCAGAACCATCTCCAGGAGGACCAGAAAAAATGGACGACATTTGAGTTAAATATGAGCGTCACAGCAAAGAGTCTGAATACTTATGACCATTTGATATTTCAGTCTTTTTTTTTATTAATTAATTTGCAAAAATGTCAACAAAAAAAACAACATTTTTTTTTGGGGGGGGGGTTCTGTCAAGATGAGGTGCAGAATGTATATAAGAAATAAAATGATAACAGAGTGAAACATTTAAAGGGGTCTGAATAATTTCCGTACCCACTGTAAACCAACAAGGTTCAAAAGTAGCTCTTCATAAAACAAAAAGCTGATTGACGTTTCCCCGATTAAAAAAAGGTATTTAATATCCAAGGTTTTTTGAAAATCATTACTAGTATGTATAATAGGAAGACGTTACTTTAAGTTGATGTAAGTCGGTTTGGACACAATTAAGGAGGGTTCTAAAATGCACTGCTAGTTTCTGAACCTTTCCTAAACCTCAATGTTACTTTGTTGCTCAATGCCAATTTTAACTAGTTCCAAGTTAAAATATGACGTGTAGACACAGACTAGGACCTTTATGGGATTCCGTAGCCATTAAATCATAGTGTTGACGATGTGTCTTTATTGTCATACTGGGTGTCCCGATACAACTTTCAAGGTCCGATACGATATTCCGATATTTATTTTTTGACTAATTCAGACTGATTTTATTTATTATTATCAGATAATAACAGCCTTACATGTAGATCCAACTACAGCCCACTTTCACTGGTCTGGCTGAGAGTAAAAGGTTTTCATGCTGATCTTCACAATACATCATTATCCTTGAGTGTATCCTGTACCTTTATACAGTGGTAGCCGTTCAAAATGTCCCCACTTTCCTTGGCTGATCCCATACAATTCATTTTTAAACATCAATCTTGTATTAAAATATTATTTCTCTCATGATTTGTGGACATTAAGATCTAAAGAGAAAAACATATATTCAAGAAGGGGGTCACTCCAGTGGCTGGAAGTTGGCTGCCATTCGGCTGGCGTTTGGCTGGGAAGCGCCATTTTGAATGGCTGCTACTGTAGGTCCTATATCATTGCTTCATATTTTTGTATCACAAGTCAACTATGGACAAATATTTGAAGAAATATTACCTTTGGCATTGCGGAGTACTCTTTTGTTTTAAATAAATGTTGTTTTCTTCCACCCTGATGATGACCCCCTTCTTAAGGATGGATAAATAAAGTTGGAGACCTCTCACACCTGAAAACCACATTTTCACGACTTACCTTTAAGAAATAGTTGCAATCAATGTTAAGATTAGCTACTTGGCTACTTGTTTTTCCGAAAAGGGGGTATGAGGAAGTAGTATTATGGTATATTTAAAGCTACAGTGTGTAACTTTTAGCGACATCTAGCGGTCAGACTGCAGCAACATGAACATCTCCCCCCCACCGCTTCCCCCCCCAACAGTACGGCGAGCGTTACGGGACAAAATGTCTTCCACGACGTCCGCATCACCTACCTTCTCAAGTGATGAGGTTTGTTTACATAGATAATTTTACAGATAGTATTTCATTAGTCTGTGTAGGGTATAGATTTCATGTAGACTTAAGATAATAAATATACCCGTTATTTTTTCTACATCGTTGTGACGTTTTGGCGATCTCGCAATCGCTAGTTTGTTGGCTCTGCGCTGCCGTAGCGCAAAGATGTCTGCCTCCATGGCTGCGAGACCCGCTCCTATGTAATTATAAATAACGAATTCTAAGGCAACGCAAATATTAAGGTTAAGAGGCTGAGCTCGTAGATGATGATAAATAACATAGTTATGTATAATATATTACATTTCTGACTGTATATCCCTGTAATTATTACACACTGTAGCTTTAAAAGCTCATAATAGTTGATTTTGCATGATATAGTTCCTTTAACAAAATGAGATATAAAACCAAAGCATAATACTTTCACTTCCATACTTACCTTCTGTTACAATATTGGCATGTTAAGATATAAAATCTGGTTCTCAGTTTTATTGGACTGTGTTGACTAGTGCCATTTATATATACATCAAGTCTAGATTAGATATATATCTGTGATTGTTTGACTTGATCATCTGCATGATAATATCGCCACTCTGCCTGTGCTGCTAATATCTTTGGTCCTAACTGAAAATTATCACATCTTTGTCAATCATTTACATATGTTTCTATAATTTTTACATTGTAGAATACATTTCTCTTTAAATTAACAAATTGAATAATAATAATAAAAGAAAACTGTGACTTAACAAGTTGTTTCATTCTACATTATTGTGTCATGTTGGTTAAAAAAAAGGAGATTTCAGAGTCAGTATAAAACAGAAACATCCCAACCGTAAAAAGTTAGAGTTACCACACAGATTTTAAAGAAGCACAGGCTAGAGGAAAGGTTGCTAACGGTTTACTGTTATTTCATCGCTTTTGCTGACATGAAGCTTCTTCAATGTCCGTTTGTGTGACTCATGTCCTGATCCTCTATATCTGATGAGCATCTAAACCTGAAGATGAGTTTTTAGTTCTGAAAGACCTGAACAGCCTTTTTATCAGAGAATTATGGCATGTATGAGTGATTAATTTATGACTGAAAACGGTTCACATTATGACTCAGCGGGCCGTTATTTAGTTTTACATTATCTCATGTTTTCTTTTCTTTTCCACATGCTGTTTATAAGGAAGCAACATAAAACGATTATTGCAGTTTACTTGCTATTATTGTTTAAGATGTTTGGCTCTGTTTAGTCAACTTATTTAGAAAATATAAAACCCTTTGAGTGTGATAATTCTTTATAATACATCATATTTAACTAGATGTGTAAGAAACTAAATGAATATGCTGAAAAACACAAAAAAAAATGAAGAAAAATAACAGAGACAAAAAATATGTTGAAACCAAACAAATACCAGCAAAAAAAAATGAATAAAGAATAATAATACAGCAACTGGATAAACATGAATAATGAAAAACACAGAAAAGAAAACAAAACCCCAGAGAAATGAATAGAGGCTATTGGTTTATTATAAGACAACGTGGTTAAATGACTCCTGTAAATAAAAATGACCTCATTGCTATTTTGGTTTCAGGAGATGTAATCTATCACATGG